AAAAAAAAATTCTTTGAGTTATAGAGGGAAGATCTTCATTTTTGTAATGCTCGCAATATTCGATCACGAGCCCATCCTACAAAAGTGCAAAAGTGGAAATCCTCGTTTTCCCTAAGCGATAGACCGCACGTTCGAAAAATTTATGCATGCAGCAAGAAACATCGCCAAACTATACTCGCCTGAACACCTCGATCATCTTGATCTTCTCCCATTTCATTGGAGTCGCTGAGGAGATTGTTGCCAAATATCTCTCTAAGATCAATTGCTCGACTTAGAGCATTGTCACGGCTATTATTGGGTGATGGAATTCTAACTGCATCAGCGACCGCCGCGTTGATTACTGCCTGAACCTAACAGTCACCAAAAGCGTGATTTTGAATCAAGTGTAGTAATAATGATGCGTGCATGAAATTAGCTGTGGCCTTAGTGCGGATAATGAGATGAAAAAAAAAGAATATTTCCTCTAATCAACACAATAACACTGGAAATAACAGACCTGAGCACGTGCTACATTTCTAGCACCATGTGTGATGCTAGCAGCGTTCGCCGACGCACCAGAAGTATTTGTGCTTCTCATTAACGTTTCCAGAGTTTTCAGGACTATGTTGACAGTATCGATAGCTTCCTATGAAGACAACAATGTACAGCTCGTGAAGGATGCATACAAATCAAGAACTAACCTTCTGCGAGAGTTGCAGATACGTGATAGTTTTGACCAGATCATTTGATATCTTCTTCTTGTGGAACAGCTTCGTTATCGGATTTGGCGTACCACCGAGAAGGTGGCGGTGATGCGAATGTGATAAGCTGGAGGATGACGATGGGCAAGAGTCAAGCATCATAACCAACAGAGAGCAAAGCTCGCTGACCTGGAATGTCACGTTTCGAACATCGATTTTGATATAACGCTTGTAAGATAATGATAATCAGAATAAACCAAGTCATAATGATCAAAATCGAAACTTCCCCAGACAGTAACAGATAAGTGAACTTGTCTGATGATTAATAATTTTGTTTATCAGCAGGCATGCAAGTGCATGCTGATTGTCAACGTTTACATATGAACGATAATTTTGAGAAAATTGTAATGTCATACTAATGGTAGAGAGATAAGCTATTCTAGCAATCTCCAAATGAAAACCACAACTGATCCTACAATTTGTTGAAGCAATGTGTACAAAGATGCAGTTTCTCGCAGAAATTTAACTTCCTTTCACGCCTATTCTGAAATCTGGGGAGACAATTTTCCCTGTTCGCGCATATAGAAGAGGTATCGCATGATAAGATATGCATTGCGGGTGCGCTGAATATGTGACATGGCAACCCATATATAAAAAGCATACAGTTTGGCTACCCATATATAAAAAAAAACAACTTGCAACAGTTATGTTTGCTGCTCTCATGCCTTATTCGTGAAAACGACATCAAGTTCAGAAAATTGTATGGCTAAGATCGCTGCAGATGCAAATAAAATTTTTCAAAGTTCCCAGAATCCATAAATACATCAGAATTGTTGGAATAGGAAAAAAATTAGAAGATTATAAACGCAGTTTTACGAACACCCACCTTGCTGCAAATAGCGGTAGAGGATAGTGATGAACTTCCGATCGAAACAAGCGAAGCTTTCATGTCCGACACTAATGCTTCTTGCGCTTTTGGAGAATGATTACAGGCAGCCAGTATTGAAATGAGTGTCTTCAAAGAGCCGAGAGTGTCCTGCAAACACATAAATTGTTAGAAGAGGAAGGCAAACGCCTAGTAAAAGTCCAACAGAAGTAAGATGTGAAACCTTCTCTTGTGTTCCGTCAATAAAATGTTCGATGAGTTGATGAATCACACTTTGACCATCTTCTTTAGCCTCACAGATAAGCGACGCTACACCCGGATAAGACTTCACCAGCTCAGCAAGAAGGCTCAAGATAGCCCCACGACTGATCTAAAAAGTGTGTATAGAGAAAAGTTTCTAGCGCTTATTCTTCAAATTACTGAATGATTGCACAAAAGTGCTTCCATGTTACGACTTTAAACAAATGTAAGAATGTACGGCAGAATGTGCGA